CAGTCAGACCCTAGTTGGAGGCTCGGCATTGCCACTTAACAACAGCTGTGCATTAGGTAAACGGTTCAATCCTCTGAGCCCAATTTCTCTCTGTAAAACAAAGAATCTATCTTCCTGATGCGACTGTGGAGAGGACCAACTGAGCTAATGTGGGTCATGCACTCGGCAGAGGTTCATCGGATTTCTCTCTTCTCCCTGGGATGGAAGAAGAAAGATTGAGAAGGAAGAAAGACTGGTCTTTCCCTTCCGCCCCAGCTCCAGCCTCACTGCTCTGCAACCTGCCATCCCTCGTGGCCAGCAAGCCCTTGGGCATGCCTTCTCGGCGACCTTATGATCCCCTCAAAGGCCAAGCTCCTGCTTCCACCCTCGGCTGGCCCAATGTCCCTGCTTCCATCACTAACCCCGCACTGTGGACGGGCTCTGATCCGCCACGCCCTCCCGCCCCTCCTTCTCCAGCCTCCGGCACCCAGAGCTGCTTCCCCACTTTCCCTGTAGCGTCACCCGGGATCGTGCCTGAGCTACTCCAGAAGCGGCCTCCCCACTTCATTTTCCCCACTGTTAGCCCACACCTCACTCCACTGCCAGGTGAATCTTCCAGAAACACTGTCTTCCCCAGATCAGAAACCACCCGTGGCTCCTTCACCCTCAGTGCTGGATTAGTGGCTATCTCCTGGCCTGCCATGCTGTTCCTCCTGCACCTGCACAAACCCTCCCCTCTAGGCAAACTCAGTGTCCCCTCTGTGCCTTTGCCGATGCTTCCCCGCCTGGCCTTAGCACCGCCCCTCCTCTCTGCCTAACGGGCAGTGGAGTGAGTGCTCAGAAGCACAGGCTTTGGAGTCAGAAAGACCTGGGTTTGACTCTGTCTCCACCACCCACTGGCTCTTGGGCAACTGACTTAACCTCTCTGCCCCTCAATTTCTCCATCTGTAAAATGGGGCTACACCACCTTTCAAGGTGCCTGAGGGGTTTAGGCAAGATGATGATTGTAAAAAAACAAGAAGAAGTGCTTCACGCAGAGCCTGGTTATCCTAAGTGCTCTGCACGCTGGAGCCGTGCTGTTGTTACTCTGATGCTTTGGTTCAGGTGCCTCCTCTGTCACGAAGCCCTCCCTGATCACTGTGGCCTGATTTCACAGCATCTCCGTGATGTACTGTCCTGTTGTCTCTGCGGGGCTCTGCTAGTTGGGGGATCATAGGCAAGTCCCCTTGCCTCTTGTGCCTCAGGTCCTTCATCTGTAAATTGGTCCTGAAAATAGTACCTACCTTGTGGGCTTGTGGCGAGGGTTAGTGAGTGAATGTGTGTGAAGCGCCTGGCACGTAGAAAGCTCCGTAGGAATGTGAAGTAGTATTAGTTTTACCGCAGTCCCATGGCATCGCCTCTGCCCATCCCTCCTGTCATCAAATGAACTGTTAGTGCCCTGAGTGAGGGACTGAGACTCCTACTTCCATGAGGCCTCCCCCAGCACCCAGCAGGGAGTGGTGGGCCCCTGAGCCTCCTCCACTTGGCCTTCTCAACTGGCCATCTGGCGACAACTGCTGGTTCCACTGAGCTCTGAGACCTTCAATGCTCCCTTAATGCCAACATGCCGAAGTCTGGGTGGGAATGGAAGTCCTCAGATGTGCCTCTCAGAGGGGCCGTGACCTCCAGAGCCCCCTACCCTGCCCTTGAATGCCCTGTTTCTCCCAGGCCTCCGGGCTGTAGGAGTCACCCCCAGGGACTTGGGAGAGCCCCTCTCTCCTACAACTAACAGCCTCTCTTCTTCCCGAGCTGCTGCCCCCGACTCAGTGAGGGGCCCCAGGGCAGAGTGCAGCTACAAGGAGCCAGAAGGTGGGATTACACGCTGACATGGGCCAGGGGCCAGTGCTGGGTGTTTATTGCCAGTGCCATCGACCCACACAGCTCACTGTTTATCTGTCTTCCTGACACACCTAATTACCCAGGTTGCAGCTGCCAGAGCGTTTGCTCTTCCTAAATCACAGGCTCCCATCCCTCCTGTCGCCCAGGCCTCCAGGCCTCTGCCTGCAGAAGGGCTGCCATTGATTTTGCCGTTCCCGTTTATGATCTACAAGGCTGTGCATCACTGCTGCACATTCTACCTTAGTTTATTCTTCTGGGCGTCCCTGGTCAGCTCAGAAGTCAGGAGGCTGGAAGGGGGGAAGAGGCTAACAGTACGTGGCGCCCTAACCCCTCCGGCCACAAAGCCCAGAACGTGGCCCGAAGTCGACACCCCCGTGCAGCAGTTTGCTAAGAACAAGGCTAGTTCTGCCGGATGCTGACAGGTGAGCTGCAAAAAGGGGTTCCATGGCCGAGTGTGTTTGGGAAAGGCTGGCTCAGGTCAAATTAAGCCCGTGATTTATTGCAGGACTTTTCAAAGTTTCGATAGACTGATGTCCACTGAGAATCTCCAAGGGTGGATGGAAGGTGCAGTCTTTCCTGAACACAGACGATCACGAAATCTTTTCTCCAGGCAGCTGGCAGAGACCAGGGTTCCACAAAGCACACTTTAGGAAATGCTGGGAAATGTGGGCAGGGGGAATTGGGGGTGATGAGGCAAAGAGAGGGGTAGAGAGTCACCCTGGGCTCGTTTTTTCCTCTTGTCTAGCTGAGGCAGGAACTCGGCGGCTTGAGAAATTTCTCCCGCTGAATGCAGAGGTGCCCATCAGAGCTCTGCAGAGCCCCAGCTGCCCGCAGCTGCTGTCTCACCTAGGCTAAGCTTTGGTAGAGTTTAACCTCAGGATTTCAGGTGGGACTAGACGAGCTGGAGGTACTGTCTGAAGAGGCCCTGGTTTGACAGAGAAGGGCAAGGGTTGCTCGCTGTTGTGAAAGCTGGGCACCCGGAAGCCTGCAGTGCCGTCCTCGGAGGCCCCCCAGGCATCAGAAGGCGATGACAAGGCTGCCACTGCCTCGGGAACAGGCATGAGGATGGCAGTCTCAGTCCACAGTCCCTTTTCCGCAGTCCTGAAATCCAGAACGCTCTGAAAACCTCAAGTGCTTTTTTTAAGTTCGTGGGAAAGTGAATTGAGAGCAAAACCTGTCCTGAGCTGACGTGAGCTATTTATGGGCTATATTTATCCCACCTAGTGTGACTGTTTGTATATTTCACTGCAGAAATATTAATGTGTTTAATTACAGGGTGCTGCCCCAGTCCCTGATGGGGGTGTTATGTAATAAACGGTGTATGCACTGTGTTACCTTTCTGACACGTGAAAGGAAAAAAATCTCAATCTCTAGACACATCTGGTCCCCGGGGATTGCGACGAGGGCCCGGGAGCCCGGGGTGGCACAGAGCGGCCAGAGGACAGTCCCCGCGTGCTGACCCGGGGCCCCAGAGTTTTCCCCTGCAGTTCCCACAGCGATGCTGGGAGGGAGGAGGCACAGCCGTTACCCCCAACTCCCAGATGAGGAAACCGAGGCTGCGGAGAGGATAAGGAACCGGCCAAAGCCCCGAGCAAACAGGAGTCAGAGCTGGACACAGGCTCAGGCCCTCTGAGCCGGCACCTGCGCTTCTGTCCAGATCAGGCTGCTCAGCGGCCCCCGTGGGCCACCCTCCCAAGCCAGGCAGCTCTGTGCAGACCCCAGCTGCGGCTCCTCAGCCCAAGCCCCGCCCCATAGACGCCGGCAGGGCCTCTGGATCTGCCTTCCGCTCTGCTGGGAAAGGGCCTTCCCCTCCTCCTCTGCGCCGCCGGGAGGGCCAGGCAGAGTGGCACAGCTCTGCCCCCGTGCCAGCTCCCTGGAATCTGGGGAGCATCCCGAAGGCCAGCTCCAGGCCCCACAGACGATACGCCAGCCCCTGTGTGTCCCCGGGGTCTTAGGAGGTGCCTGTGTGAGGCCACTCGGAGAGCACACCCTTGGTCCTCTCCCAAGTGGAACCACCTGAGGAGCCTCCTGTGCACAGCCCTCACCCGCACACACTCACACTCATCCACTCACTCTCACACTCATTCTTACACTCGATCTCACACTCACACTCATTTTTACTCACATTCTCTCTCACCCACCCACTCACTCCTGTGCATTCCCACACACTCACTTTCACACACTTATCCTCACACTCACTCTTACACTCACTCTCCCCACACTCACTCTCACCGCACCCCTGCAGTGCAGAGCTGAGGTCCTGGAAGCACCTCACAGGGTCCCCCTGTCTATGAACGGGAATAATCGACCTCCAACCCCTTGGGGGATGGGCGGCGCCGTGCTAACTCTTTCAGGGGCATCACCTCATTTACCCCTTGAATTAAGCTGGAATGCAGCTGTTATTGTCCCCATTTCCAGTAAGGACACTGAGGCTCAGACTTGCCCGAAGTCAACACCTAGAGCCCAGAAGTAGAACCTCGGTAGAACCCAGCCTGAGACTCAGTCCCGTTTACTCTAAACCCCGAGTTCCTGACCGTCACCTGCTCCCCTCAGGCTGCACCCATTGCCTCTCCACAAACCCTCACCCCGTCGGAGTGCCGACCCCACTGCCATCCAGTTTTCCTGGAGTGTTGGTGACACACCTGTCAGAGCTCAACTTCCAGCCCCTTCCTCGATTTTGACTTAGAGGCCCACCCGCCAGCCCGGACCATTTCTTCTGAGACCCAAATCAGGTCCTGTGGTTCAGCAGAGAATGTGGGCGGCAGCTCCTGGAGAAAGAGACGTCCTTGGTTGAGTTTGGGCGTGAAATACTGGCAATCCCAGGGTCGTGCTCGTGGTGCGGCAGGAGCGCAGTGCAGACCGCGAGATCCCGGGTCAGCTCCAGGCCCCAAAACCCCGTGTTGAGGGTCAGCTCAGCGCCCAGGAGTGGGCACACGGCCTCCCAAGTTCCTGAGGGCTGGGCCGACCATTTTCATAAGCCTCAGAGTCTCTTCTCTCAACTGAGAATCCCTGCGTGTCCCCAGGAGAGGGGTCGCAGCTGCCTAAGCGCTCACCGTGCCGCAGGCGACCCGTTCACCTGTGGCCCCAGCCCCTGCGGTAGGTGCCGCACCGGCCACCAGCCCTCCCTTCCCTCCTCTCTCCAGGGGTGGCCACGTACACGGACAAGTTGTTCAAGTTCCGCAATAACCGCTGGGAAGACGTCCTGAGTGACGAGGTCAACGTGGCCCGCGGCGTGGCCAGCCTCTTTGCCGGGCGCTCTGTGGCCTGCGTGGACAGGAGGGTGAGTCCAGGGGTACATGGGGGCCTGGGGAGAAGGGGGGCACACAGCAATGTGTCGGCCAGGAGGGGAGACCCAGGCAGACGTCCCCGGACAGAGCATGGCTCCCGAGGGCAGAGCCCAAGGCCGCTCCCGCAGGGCCTTACGCGTAGTAGGTGCTAACATACTTTCACATCCTTTCTCCCCCGAGGCCTTTCCAGCAACCAGGGGCTGTCATCGTTGTGTCCACTGGGCAGAGGAGGGCACTGAGCCCCAGCTTGGAGCAGGGACCTGTCTGAGGACCCAAAACAGATTGGTGGTGTGGCTCGGACATGAATCAGACTCTCTCAGCTCTGAACCTTGTGCTCATTCATTCGTTTATTCAACTCTTATTTACGAAGTGCCTACTATGTGCCAGGCATTGCACCATCAGGCCTTCTCCCCCATAAGTACTTATGGAACAAGTGAAGGCACAAGCAAAGTGGCTCGTGGGTGGGTGAGTGGAGGGTTGCCTGAATTACAAGTACTTTAGTTAACCCATAGCTCCATCAATCCTTTCCCGCCCGGCTAGTCCGCCCGGCTAGTCCACCCGGCACACAGGTGCTCAACTCGGAGTGTGGGGTAGAAAGGCCAAGTGGCGAGGGCAGGAGCAGCTGCAGCCATCTGCCCTGTGGGGCGCCCACCCCCCACCCCGGGCGTGCATCCCGGCCAACCAGCCAGAGCCAGAGCGTGGAGTGGAGGTGATTTATCCCGCCTGTCACCTGCTTCCCTGCCGCCCCCTCCCTGGCTTTACAAAACAGTCCTCACTAAGTCAGGGACCCAGCTGCTGCCCAGCTTCCATGGGAGCATCTCTGGCCCCCGTTCTGGGGACAGGCACAAGGGGGCCAACTCTTTCGGGACTGAGATGGGGACTGATATGGCACTGAGGGGACTGGGCATTCAGCGTGATCTTCACAGCGGGGGCCTCCAGGCCTTGGGAGAAGGCAGGTGCCAGGTATAAATACTTATTTCTTATCAAGCTGGTGCCGGGAAGAGCACCAGGCCGGGCTGTGAAGCCACACTTGGCCCTGCCTGGTGGGAGGAAACCGGGAGGCAGCTCAGCGAGCCGTTCCGGGGACTGGGGGTTCTGGGGGGCTCCAGGCCTGGCCGCGCTGCTGCCAGGCCTCTTCCCGTGTCTCCTCCTGGCTTCCTGTCTCACCCCTTCAGGACCAGGACTGCCACACTCGGCTAAGGCAGGAATCTTCTCAGCACTGGTGGGAGGGCCTGAAGGTTAATCACAAAGAGACTCGCTGTGTCCTAACAAGGTCATCTGAACACCAACGCACTTAACCACAGGAGGGGGGCGCCACGTGAAGTGCAAAAAGAGAAGCACAGGAGGCGGGCACTTAGTGGCTTGCTCACTCCCTACTCAGGCCCAGCCTCAGGGAACTAGAAAACGCCCACACAGCTGGTCTGCCGCCAGGAGAGGGGCTACTTGCTGCATCCAGCCACCACCTTGGCAACCCCTGAGGCCTGAGAACTGTGGAGAGGTCAATGCCGGTGTGGAAGTTGAGAGACAGGGATGCAGTGTGGTATGGGAAAATACAAGAGCAATCATAACGTTAAGAATATAATATTAACATAACAAAGACAATAATAATATTATAATAGCTAACGCTTGTTAAACTGGCCACATGCCAAGCTCTGTGCTAAGTGGTTTCCACGTACCATCTCATTGAATCCTCAAAGTAAGCCTATGAGGTACATGTTATCGTTATCCCCATTTTACAGGTAGGGAAACTAAGGCTTCTAGCAGTAAGCTACTTGACCTTGGTCACCACAGTAAGCGGCAGGCAAAGGCAGGAACTGAGCCCTGCCTGGCTGAAAATAATCAGATGCCTTCACCTCCCTGCTGCCCTGCCTCCGGGTAAACCCGTGTCAGACACACATTCCTAACCCCAGGTTCTATTACAACGTTTGACCTACTCCTTCCTCAGTCCCACAACCCCTACCTGGGGCCTGTTAGCATACCTGCTCCAGACTAGCAGCATCAGCATTGTTAGAAATGCTAATTCTCAGGTCCTACCCCACTCCACCCTCCAGACCTACCAGTCAGAACCCCTGGGGGTGGGGCCCCACAGCCTTGGTTTCAACTGGGCCCAAAGGTGACTCTGAATTATGCTAAAGCTTGACAGCTTCGCACCAGGTAATAGCCTCAACCCCTAGGTGTGCCGTTCTCTCCCGCTCCCCTCGCAGCCCTCATCCGTTCTCTGTCCCAAACCCGGAACACCTCTGCCCTTCATCTTCAGGTGCCTCATCACTCATCCACCTTTCTGGATCCAGCTCAAAGCCGATCTCTTACAAGAAGCGTTCCCTGATCGATAATGATTCTGCCTCATGTTTATATAGCATTTTTATCTTTTCAAAGACCTTTCACATGCGTTGTCTCACTTCATCTTCTCAGCAGCCCTGCCAGGAAGCAGGGGGGTTATGATTCCCACTTAACACGTGAGGAGATACGGCCAAAGTGGGTGAGGGACCTGCCCAAGGGCACAGAGCCAGTTGGGACAGAGCTGTGACTAGGATCCAGACTGACAGCCCCAGACCAGTGGTTCTCAAAGTGTGGTTCCTGAAACAGCAGCACCAGCTTCACCTGGGAACTTGTTAGAAATGCAGATTCTTGGGGCTTCCTGAATCAGAAACTCTGGGGATAGGACCCAGCATCCATGTTTTCATAAGCCCCCCAGGTGATTCTGAGGTTGGCTACAGGGTGAGACCCACTGCCCTTGACGCAAAGCTGCAGAAACACCTTCCTTCCCCTGGAACCAGCTCCCCCTCCCAGAATTACTGGGTCAAGTTCACATGTGAATTTCTTCAGTCTTCTATAACTGTAACACATCTATGTTTTTCTGTCAACCCAATACACTGAAGTAAGGAACTAGGTATAAATGAATTTTATAAATATCCTAATTTCTAGCAGAGTGCATTTCAGTTCATCTGGGCTTAATTGCCCATTTGTCGATGAGATTGCTAACAGCTGGTACGGTCAGGAAGCGTCACAGTGGTGGTGCACTTTCCCCTTTGGCCCCATTCATTCTCTCTTCATCCAGCCATTCCACACACATATACCAAGCTCCTGTGATGGGCAAGAACCTTTCAAAGTTCTCCCCTAATCACAAAACCATGTTGTAACGCAGTGCAACTCAAAGTTCATTTTTGTGTAGGGATCACTGGGGATCTTGTGGCAATGCAGGTTCTGATTCAGCAGGTCTGGGCTGGGGCCTGAGAGTCTGTATTTCTAACACGCTCCCAGGTGACACGGATGCTGCTGGTCCAGGGACCACTTTGAGTAAAAAGACTTGTAAAGCATCGGTTCCCAGATAGCAGGCTAGAGACTCAGGGAACCAAAAATGAAGGGGCCGAGAAGTCTTTACAGAACAGGTTGGCCACCTTCTCCAGCGTCCTCCCCCCACAGGCCCCGCCTTGCTTTGTACATTCTGACAGCATTGAACGAACTGTTTGTGGCTTCCCGACATTCATCACTCTCTGTCTCATCTCTGCCTGGAAGGTTCTTTCCCCTCCACTTCACCTGGCCAAGACTTCTCTTAGAAAGCCTTTTCTGAACTCCCCATGGCGAGGTGCCCTTCCTCTGGGTTAAGAGCCCCTCTTCTGTGCACCCAGGAAACCCTGTACACACTCAATCAGACATGTAATTGCTGATGCACCTGCTTCCGCCAGGAGACCCTGAACTCCTTCCTTGGCTTCACCCACCTGTTAGACCCAAGTGTCTCCTAATCAGTTTCCCCAAAGAAAATGGTCCCAAAGAAGGGATAAAGTGACCAGTTAGGTGAGAGGGGCTGTCATGGGACCATTGGACGGGAAATAGAGGAAAGCAAAGAGGGCTGAGAAGAGGTGGTGACAGAGCACACTTTGCTGCCTTAAATTCAGCTGTTTTTCCTGGGTTGTTTTGTGTTTATAGCTTCCTTCGTTGTTTTTTTTTTTTTTTTTTTTACTTTTAAAGTATAGTCGGTTTACAATGTTGTGCTAGTTTCAGGTGTACAGCAAAGTGATTCAATTATACATACATATATACCTATGTTTTTTAGATTCTTTTCTCTTATAGGTTATTACAAAATACTGAGTATAGTTCCCTGTGCTATACAGCAGGTCCTTGTCAGCTTCCTTTAAACTAGACTATAAGCAACCTAAGGACAAAGACTTGGTCTTAAGTACATTTATACCCCAGCACCTTGCACATCATTAGAGCTCAAGAAATATGTACTGTCTGATTAATTGGAGGGAAATGCTGCAAGGGATAAGAGGAAAGCTAGAAAACTGATTGAGAAATTGTGTGGATCTCTTGGGGGAAAGAAGGTATCCATTGAAGAAACACCATTATAATAACAGGCAGGAAAGAATCTTTCATCAGCTGTGTCTTGGACTAGAGAAGAGAATGCCTACAGCAAGGAGGAGCTGGTGCCCAGGGCTTCTCCTGGATGCAAAGGGGAAAATATACATACATATTTGAGACAGTGTTATAAAGGCAGGAGCAATATACTATTTCTTTCTGGTAACGTGGGAAAAACAAGGGGGTGGAAGTGGGAAGGAGGAGCCTGGCGTAGCTGAGCCTATCGAGCTACCCAAGTGGAGGAGTGAAGAAGTACAGGGTGGAGGTGGGGCAGGGAGATGGCTCACGAATTTGCTTGTCATCTTGGCTGGAGCGAGCTAGAATGGGAGAGCGAGACTGAGAATAATGGGAATTGGTAGATCAATCAATCAGCAAATATTTATTGAGCAGCTACCCCGGCTGGCAGCTGGAGAGAGCTCAGCTGGAGGAGAAGGCACATTAGAAAACTGTCTATAAAAAGGTGGTTGTGGAGGAGAGGGAGGGATGTTCTTCTGGAACAGGATGGAAGGAAAAGCGGGGCCGCTTTGCTGTAGGACTCTGGGGGTGTCGTGCGCTTCGTAGCCTCTATGAAAAGCACCTCTGGAGTTGTGTCGTGCAAGGTCACGCACGCCAGACCCCGGGAGCAGAGGCCGAACCTGTGAAAGAGCTATGGTCCTGCGAGAGGAGCGGGGGAGCTGCTCTCTGGGCCCCCCGCCCCCCGACCCCGCGCCGTGGTCCTGCTCAACTACCCTCCTTCCCTTCCTCCTCAGGGCTCCGGACGCTACTCCATCTACATCGCCAATTACGCCTACGGTAATGTGGGCCCTGACGCCCTCATTGAAATGGATCCGGAGGCCAGTGACCTCTCCCGGGGCATTCTGGCGCTCAGAGACGTCGCTGCTGAGGCTGGGGTCAGCAAATACACAGGTAGGCGGAGTGACATGGGGGGGCTGTGAGCTGGAGGGGCTGGGGGCTGGAACCCCGCAAGGCTGAGTCTAATACATCAGAGACCACCGGAGAGGGTGGGTTTGTGTCTCTGGGGAGGGAGGATGAAGGCTTTATTCCATCCCACCACCCATAGACGGCTTCTTCCCACGCGACCTCTCCAGATGATGAGACATCTGGCAGGGGTGGGCTTTTGGGGGGGGCAGTGGGTGACGTCAGACAGCCAAGAACATCACCACATCATCCTCTCCTTGGAACCTCTTGCCCCATTCCCTGCTGTAACCCGAATGATGGGTGAACAGGTTCTGTAGGAGAAAACTGACAAGTCACAGAGGCCGAGATTTAAAGCCTTCTTTATTGCCAAACAGCAGGTAAAATTATTTACCTGCACATAAGCGGCCAGGAAGTGAGCGCTAAATCCCTAACCTGCAGCTGGGTCCCGTCTCAGATAACTGAGCTCGAAGAATTGTGTTCTTGTTCCAAAACCTCTCCAGCACTTTTTTTGAAGTCACGCTCCCCGCACATCTTTCTGGATGGGGGACCTATTGTCAGAGTCTCTGACAGGGAGATTGTTCTAGGGAAGGCTGTTTTTCTAATTCCAGCACGGCTGCTGACTAAACTCTGATCATCTGCCAATAGACTGCTGATGGCAGAGCAATCCAGTTCCCGTCTGGGGCGCCAAAAATCAGGAAGCCAGAGGTGTACACGGCTTCTCACGTGAACTCTGGCCTCACTCACACCCAACCTGCACTTTGGGTGTAGAAATTCCCTCAGTGGTTGACCTTCCCGGTATATCCATCCCAATTTACACTACAGAATTCCAAGTGGCAGCTGGCCTGGATCCAAATTTGGGGGCTGGAAGGATCCTTGAAGGGTCATTTGGGCCATGCCCCTGCCGCCAGACACCCGGGTGGCGGCATCGTCTCAAAGCCCTACCCAGAAGGGTTGCCACAGCCTCTCGCGAGTTCACCATGCCTTTCGCCAGCCAGCTCTCCTCCTCAGTGAGCGGGAAAGATTGATGTTGACCTGTCTGACAAAGTTTGTGGGAACAAACGGCTAGACAATAAAACAGTTTGCACAGCTCAGCTCCATCAGAATGCGCGAGAGCTCTGCCTGGGAACGTGCAGCAGAGAGGCTGAATGTCAGTAATAAACCATGTTTGCCTGGGAAAAGGAATAAACATGCAGGAGCATCAGCCTCGACTTGTGCAGACAATTTTTCTGAACAGTTCTCAGTTCTATGCACTGGGCTGGTTTGGCAATTAAGTGCCTTGATCTGCAGGAGAAGGAGGGGAGACTGGGGAGATGAAGCACTTGAAAATGATGAGCTGGAAGGGAGGCAAGGTCTGGGAGCGAGGGTTATACACAGAATCAAAGAATTCAGAAGGCTGGGTGTGAGCATATAGGGGACACTGTTCACGCTGGTGGGGCTGGCAGAAGGGCTGGCAGGAACCAGGGACGGGGAAGGAGGGGACCAAGAGGAGACCGCTGAGGAGCACAGGGTGGGGATAGGGGCACCGGCCAACTGTGCCAGGCTGTGCTGGAAGGACGGGGCAGCTCAAGGAAGGAACAGCAGCTTCCGTGGAGCATGCAGGCAGGCCGGGGCAGCTGGCACGCCCAGAGGACATGTTAGAGCAGCGTTGCAGACTTCCAAAAGCCATTTGGCTGACAAGAACCTATTTGGCCCACCAAGTTACTATTCTGTCTGCCCGCCTTCCCAGCCCACCCTTTCCCTGCCCTCCAAACCCCGCAACGCTACCTTGCAGCCCCCGTCGTCACTCTGTTCACAACACATGGACATATGGCTGGAAAACTAGCCCAGAGCAACCTCCTGAGCCCCAGGAATGGACCCCAATGTAAGGGCCTGACTGCCGAGGCTCTGCCACGTGGCCAGTGCTCAGCTCCAGGCTGGTGCCTGGGGCCTGGGGAGTGGGGAGAGACGCAGGCAGTGAGGGAAGCAAGCCATGGCCAGATGTGCAGTCAGGTCCCCGGAGCCAAGGCACACAACACCCATCTGCCAGACAGACCCTGGAGAACCTCCTGTTTGCAAAAGAACAAATCCAGGTCCAGAGAGGAGAAGACACTTGCCCAAGGTCACACAGGAGGTTTGCAGAGAAACTAGCACTTAGAGCCCCGGCCCCTGATGCCTAAACTGCCACAACCAGCTGACCTTTCTGATGACCTCCAGCTTGAGAATCCTGCTCCAGCCTGCAAGACAGAAGGGGTTGGTGAAAGAGGAAGGGGCCCGACCACCGAAAACTCAGCCCCCGGGACTGGCCCTCTGGACTTTAATTGCGGCTCCCGGTTTTTTGTTTTTGATTTTGTTTTTTTGCCTGAAACAGCTGCCTGGCCTGGGCTGCTCAGGGTAGCAGTGGGTTGGCCTGGGCATACCTGTCTGCAGGCCGGGCAATGGCGAAGCCCGCACCGGGCTGTCCGGCTCCGCGGGAGGAGGAGGGGAGGCATGTCGTCCGGACTCGGGATTCTGCCTGCGGCCGCCGCTCTACTGGGTCTACAGTGCCATCTAGCGGCCAGCGCGCCCGCTCTCGGGGGACTCGAGGGCCCCTGGAGGGCGGCGCAGCCAGAGCTGCTGGTGCAGAGTTGAGCAGAGGGAAGGCCACTCCCCCATGGTTCCTGGTTCTCCAAGACCCCCGCTGCCTGCAGCCTCTTGGAGCCTGAACTGCCCTACATGGGAATCCTGAGAACTAGTTCTCCCCATGAGAGAGCCAGGCAGGAACTCAAGGTGGGGGAAGGTGGGGACCAAAAAGTTTGCACTGCCTCTCTGGCCCCGAATGATCTCAGGAACATCCCATAGGCTCTCTGAGGACCTTGAACTAGCCGTCGAGCAGAGCTGCTAAGTGGACAGGATCTGGAGCCAGAGTACTGGGTGCAGATCCTGCCTCCACCATGTCCTCCCTCCCAGGCAGCAGTGGGCAACTTATTAACCTCTCTGGGCCTCAGTTTTCTCACCTGAAAAATGGGGGGTATTAAAGGAGATAAACATAGAGCATGCCTGGCACAGGGCCTAGCACACAGGCAGTACCCACCAAGTGTAGCAGACATCAACACCCTCCTCTGAGGTTCTGAAGGAAGGATGCCAGGACCCTCTGCTGGGCATCTCCTGGGTGTAGGGAGCCCAGGGGGAAGCACAAAGCAAGCAGGGCTAACCCCTGCCCTGGAGGTATTCTGCATGTGTCTCCTGGCATGTCCTCCAGTCCTGGGCACAGGCGTGGGCATCTTCAGCCCTGTTCCCACTGGAATCCATCTCTCTTCCCTTCTTCACTCTGGACCCTGTCTCGCCCTGGCCTCTACTCCCTCCCCAGGAGCTCTGCAATTTGGCCTCACCCTTTTAGGGAGCATCTGTCCAGGTTGCAAGGTGGTGATTAAAGAAGACTTAGAAGAAATTTGGAAAGAAAATGAAGGTGGATTTATGATATTGGGTGAGGAGTTTTGCTGTTGGCTGGGAGCAGTGTAGAACAAAACAGAGGGCAGATCTGATTTACAGGAAGTAAATGGAGGAGACAGAGATGCCTACAGCCCAGCTGAGGCCTTCTGGAGGACCCCTACCAGCCGCTCCAGAGAGGTGACCCGGGGCGGCAGAGTGGGGGCCTCAGAGTCTCCCAGGTTCCCAGGCAGTGCTGGCCTTTCAGTGGGCGTGCAGCCAGACCTGTCAGCTGGGGACAGGCAGGGCTAGAGTGACAGGCTCCTCAGCCAGGGCCCGGGACCCCCAGGGAGTACAGCCACAGGCCCGCCAAAGCCCCAGGAAACACGGAGTGTCAGAAGCATAAGATGATTGACAGGGAGGGACATCATTTTTTATTCAAAACAAACACAGATGTTATAGAATACAAATGCAATCTTGGTACACATTTTCTTCAGCTAAAACAAGAGAGTTGTTTTTTTTTAACGTCAAGCCTATGGCTGGCCATTCTGGGCCTTACCAGGAGTACAGATCCCTCTTCTGCTGAGAGGGAACTTGACTAGAAATGTTTGAGAGCATGCTGTGGGGAGAGAGTGGCTCTGGGGTCACTCAGACGTGGTTTCAACTGTGATCCATTGCCTGCTGGCTGCAGTTATGCCTCCCTGAGCCTCGGTTTCCTCACCTAGAAAATGATGAGGTGAGGTGAATCGTGCATGATACCTAGTACACAGGACTGAACTGGAGCTATTCCTGCCCCTCCTTTTCCTGCCCTCCCTCGTGAGACAGCTACTTCCAGCCCCCTCCCTGCCTCGGGGGGTGGGCACACAGAGAGGAATGACTTCCCTCCTGTACCCACCAGGTGCCCAAGGTTTGAAAATCCCCACCAGTGGACAAATGATGGAGCCTGTCCTCCTGCCTCCCCATCTCCCTCAATGTCCTGCAGGGACAGACCAGAGGGATTAGGGGTGAGTGGGAATGTCCTTGTCTAATACCCTCCACACCAGTACACTCGGAACCCCACCCAGCATCTGGACCACTCTCAGAGGACCCGGGGGTAGCAACACCAGCCCTAACACAGTATGATTCTGTGTCAGAATTTCAGGAAGTTTAAGCTGTTATCCTGCCCTTCTCACACCTCCTTCTCCAACACACACACACACACACACACACACACACATACACTGTCCATTCCTCCACCCCTGCATGTTCCAGTGCTTTGCTATTCTTTTACGATATCTTAGATGTTCTTGGCAACCTGCAGGCCTTAGCATCCACTAGAATCATTAATCAGCAGAATAGTCCCACAGGGTCCAGGTTCCTTGTCTGACAGCCTCGCCGCGGAGCCCCCATGGTGCAGACCGTAGAGGGGCCCAGGAGGATGCACTGAAAAGTAGAGCTGGAAGGAGCCTTGCAGACCTTCTCACTCCCGCCTCCACTTCACGGAGGGAGACCAAGGCCTGGAGGGCACACTTCCCAAGTTCCTGCCTCCAGAGAAGGTGCAGAGGCCGGGCAGCCCCCGGAGGCTTTTGCTTAGCACCGCGAATCCCCTGCCTCTTCATCCCGGGCCCTCTGCTGTACAGCTGCCGCAGCATGCAAACGCCCCGCTCCCTGCAGCCTCTTTCCCTTCCCCACCTCCAAGCCCGAGGGCTGCCCTGATGCCGTCTAAGAGAGGGATTGGCTGCACCCAGATTGGACTTGGGTCTACATCTCCCAAGTGTAGGGGTTCAGAGGTTTAGGGGTGCAGTTCTTAAGGGTAAGCGGGGCTGCCCTGTGGGCTCAGGCCCACTGAGCGGATCAGAGCGGGTGTCAGAATGTGGCAGGAGGAAGAGGGGGCCATAGGGAAGCATTTTCCCTTGTCACCACCTCTTCCACCCCGCCTGGTGGACAGAGTGAGAAGCCTTCGGGAAGGGATGGGCAGGGAGCAGCATTCACACCCAGCAGCAGAACAAGAGGCCTTTGAAGCTTGAAAGTGCTGGAAAAATAAAGGGACATTATTCACCCAACAGGTGGGAAATAGTCCCACTAATGACTCTGTGGCACCTGACGCTTTCCAAGGTACCTTCCAAAAACCAGCTCACTTAATATTTATGACAACCTGGGAAGGGGCTATTATTATTATCAGTCTCGTGTTATAGGTGAGAAACCAGATGGCCGGAAAGGTTCAGTGACATGCCCAAGGTCACACAGCTCGAATATCCTGATCCCCAGTCTTTCCTACCAACCAGTGTGCCTCTCCAGCCCCAACTGGGGAACTGCTTGCCCCCAGGAGGATGTTCTTGCCTCAAGTATAAAAGAATTAATTGATGTAAAGTGGAGTTCAACTCCCTATTGGAACATCATTTTCCAGGGCTAAATAAAGATGTTCCTAACTGCCCCCAGTAGCCCCATAAGGTGTGTGCTAAACCTTAGGAGGCCAGGAGACAGGGTGGATGTAACAGAGAAGACAGGGAGACTTAAGGGGAAGAGCTAGGGGAGGAGGGGAACGTCCAGGTAGAAGATACTTGCAGAATAAGGGGCCTCTGTCATGGACCGGGCAGGGAGTGGGAGAGTCAGGCTACACTTAAGATGGATGGATTTTATTAGTTTGAAGAGAGCTAACATGATGGACCTGGAAGTAGGGTTTCCCCTGCGGCCCCAGCGAGGGGTGCAGGCACCTGGCTGTCCCTGCCTCAGACCCCCATTTGGCTCTCCATCCTGAGGCTGCTGGGGCTCGTGCCCAAGAGGCTGGCTCCCCGGCTGCCGACTCACCTGCTCCCCAACTGTGCAGCAAACTTGCCAAGAAAGAGGTGTGGGTAACATCTCTGTTATGGTCCAGTTGCCATGGCAATAAATTGTCACTAATTAGTAGTGTGGTTACCATGGCAATTTTCTAGTAATTACAGGTTACAAATGGTGCAAGGCTTCAACCCAACCCAATTAGTTAATTAGAAAGATTTAGAAATTTGTCCAAGAGGGAAATAACCTGCCTTGTAGAAAATGAAGGGAATGTGTCACAGCTTGGGAGCCAGAGGCAGAGAGGAAATTGGAGGATGCTGGAGCGGTGGAAGAAGGATGGAGTTGCATGGCAGCAAGTCCCGGAGCCCCACCTGGAATTGCTGGGGACCCAGACAAGACCGAGGGTTTCTCACCAAAGCCTGATCCTGGGCTGGAGTTTGGCAGAACCAGGGCAGGGACAGCTGCCAGCAGCCACTCAGCAGCACTCTTTGAATGGGCAGAAGAGGTGCCCAGGTTGTAGCCCAGCACCCTCCCTGATGGCTTAGGAAAAGAAAGGCATCTGAAAGCCTCCTGCCCTGCCCCACGCCTGGGCTCTCCTAATGAAGGCTCTCCCAGGAGTATTGTGGTTTCAGTGGCTCCATTTTCACGAGGCTTGAGCTCTCCTTGAGAGCTAATTAGATTACCTGGGAGAAATCCGGGGGCACAGGGCCCAGGATGTGTTAACGAGGAGCCCCACCAGGAGAACCATGACTGCGGCAATGCCATTTGCCCCACTCTGGCCCCAAAGCCGGCCCCTGGTGGGCAAGCTCCACCTGCACAGGTGAGAAAGGCCTCATGATTTCCTCCAGGGACAAATCTCAGAGGATGGGAGGAGCCTGGGGACCAAAAGAACCTCCATCCCAAATTAGCACAGTGGGAACCTCTGCCCTGTCCAGAAGCGGGCTGGGGAGGGCACCTGACTTCGTGTCACTCAGGTCTGCCTGAGTGCTCATTAACTTTTTAAAAAAATCACATGCTGGTGCTCTAATAACTGCTCTCATTGTACTGAACAGCCCTTCAGAGCAGCACTTTCCAAACTTTACTGCGCACGTAAACCCCCCAGGGGTCCTGTTTGGGTGGGTGGGGACCTGAGATTCTGCATTTCTAACAAGCGCACAGGTGTAGCGCTTAGTAGCAAGGTTGTAGGATTCACAAAGACCTTTACCATCATTTGATCCTCTTATTTTTCTCACCTCATTTGATCCTCTCAAAAACCCTGAAATAGAAAAGGCAGGTCACACTATCTGCATTTTTCAGATGAGAAAAACCTAGGCTAAACGGGTAACGTAAATTGCCCAAGATCACACAACTTGTAAAAAAGCCAAGGTGGGACTAGAATGCATGTCCTGCTTCTGGTCAGGCTGTTTCCTGCACCATACCTGGGGTAGGAGTGAGGCTGAGGGCAGGCTCTCAAGGCTCTGTTTGAAACTCACTGGTTGGGGGTGGTTTGTTCAAGACACCTTAAGATTAGACTTGGTGACATGTCCACATTGATCTTGGGCATTTCAAACCCTAACGGAGAGCTGGCTTGCTTGCTTTCTTAAAAAAAATATACACCTTATTGGATTTTTTCCTTTCAAACTACAGAAGCACTTCTTGTTACAATAAGCCAAACGATACAGACGTTCCCAAAAAAGGCCAACATACTGTCTCTCCTTCCCTCCCTAAGTCCTACCCCATCAGGGCAGCCAATGCGAACAGCTCGGAGTGTGGCCTTCCCCACTCTTCCCCAAACTCAGAAACAAGTTTGCACAAACACGTACATTCAGAAGTATCATTTGTTTTCCTTTTTCTGGAGAATAAAAATAAGATCACACAACACCATTACCTGGCGAATTGCTTTTTCATTTAACGATATGTCATGGGCGTTCCTCCAAGTCAATACACGGGGCTCTACACAGTCTCTTCAGTAGCTGCAGAAGAGTCCGTCATGCGGATGCACCGTAATCCATCTGCGTCGCTGTTGATGGACAGGCAGGTGCTCGCATTTGTTTCCTACATCAAGCAAAACAAAGTGAGCATCCCTGTACCTGTGGCTGGAACCTGTTTCTTTAGGTCCTTCGAACAGGAACACACCCAGTATCTCGACCAGCATATGTGTGATCAGGGTAAGGCTGGGGGCTGTCAGGGAATCTGTGACTTGATCAAAATGTTGCAGGTAGAGATGGGTTTAGGATTAGTGCAGTTCAGCTACCAAAGGGAAGAGAAGGCTCTGTGTGGTGGCCTCTGTGTTCCTCAGCTCATGGAATCATTCCTTTGGCACAAAGTAACTCCATCTTGCTCCTCACTTGCCTCATCATCAGTGCAGTCACCCTCCACGTTGGTTTATGGAACCCTGAGCCCAGATCTGGGCTCCAGGAAGCATCTGGAATGTCAGAATCCGCCCCTCCCCGCCCCCCACCCCTGCCTCTTCCGAGGCATCACCATAGCAGCGCATCATGGGCCTCCGAGGCGGCCCCCATCCTCCACGCGGGCCTGGGGCTTTGCTTCTGCCACTCGGTGAGAGTCGCTGTGCTCTCCCAGGCGGCCGGGGCGTAAGCGTGGGCCCCATCCTCAGCAGCAGTGCCTCAGATATCTTCTGCGACAACGAGAACGGGCCCAACTTCCTCTTCCACAACCAGGGGGACGGCACTTTCGTGGATGCTGCGGCCAGTGCTGGTGAGTAAAACAGCCTCTGTCCTGTGACCCCCACCACCCTACAGGGGACTCTGGTCTGCCCTGCTCCCTCCAGGTCCCACAGGCCCCAGGGAGAGCGGGACAAGTCGTTGTCTGCACCGCACAGGGAAATGTTACTTGTCACCTTTAATTCCACATCCCCATGGTTCAGGACGCAGGGGATGTTTGTGGCTGGGGAGACAGCGTCTGGAACGCCTGACTGTTATCCATTCTCCAGCGACTGGGATTGGCCCATGCCAACTCTGAGTCCTGCCTGTGTCTCTCAGCACTGGTTTCCACTCTAAGCTGCCTCTCTCCATTTCTTCTCCCCACATCCATCTTAAACATGCAACTCAATCCAATAGCCATTTATTGAACCTGTGCTAAGTGCCAGGCTGGTGCTAAGAGCTGGGGACGCTGACCTGAATAAGGCTAAGATCACCCTACCCCACCCCCCCACCCGCCCATACAAGGCACTGACATTTTAGAGGAGGAAACAGACAAATGAACGAATAGCTATAATATGAAGCAGAATAAAATCTACACAAAAATAGTGCTCCAGGCTCCCAGCTCTGCTCCCCTGCCTCCCTTTGTGTTCATCCATCATCTGCGTCAGGACCTTTGCACCTGCCAATCCTCTCCACCTGAAGTACCCTCTCCCCCTTCTCTATCTGCAAAACTTCTATTTGTCCTCCAGCACTCAGCTTAGGTGTTATCTGTGAAGCCTTTCCTGCCTCTTTCTGTGCCGCCTGGCAGAGATTGGCACTGCCTCCTCTGTATTCCCACTGCCTTTGCATGTGCCACTCACTCAGGCTCCTACATCACTATAATAATCTGTCTGTGTCTGCAAAGACTGGGACACATAATAAAAGTATGTGGATGTAATCAGTCTGCCCTTCAGCCACTTCTCCCCACCCACTTCCTCCCCACCTTGCCAAGGAATGGGAGGTTTGATTTCTCCTTCTTGGTGGCGTAGGGACGAGCTCCGGCCTCCGGAAGAAGAGGTGAGCCGGGGTGTAGACACATAGATCCAAGGTCCTCCAAGCGCCAGCTCGTGCTGACGGCTAGCATCCAGTTCCTGAGCAGGTACTAATCCATTCTCTGTGACTTACAAGTACCTGCCCTTCCAGCACTCTGCCCGGGAGTTCCCATTTTGAACACCCCACAAATGCACCCTTGCAGCCAGTCAGCTCCCCTGTTCTTCCCGGGCAAAGCTAAAAAAGGAGGCAGCTCCCCGGCCCGTCCTCCCATGAAGCTCACCTGTTAAACGTTCCAGCAGCAAATTTTCTCATTGCTGAAAAATCGTAAAATGAAGAGGAGGTGGTGGTGGAGAAAACCTAGAGGATTTGATAAGGTGTTAAAGAGACGGAAGCAGAGGTAAACGAGCAAGTTGGAGTAGGAGAAGGTACCAGACGGGAGGAGAGAGGAAAGGTGCTATGCCCGTAATTGAAAGTCAGAGTGATTGCAGGGGTTTAACGAGACATGTCAAGGGGGCATTCATCACCCAAACAGATGCTGCTGTGAAGTGCAGCCTGGCACCGATTATTCTCGTGAAAGGGAACCAGCTCCTTGTCAGGGTGCCTCATAGATAGGAGAGAAATGGGCCAACACGGAAGGCCACCGACATTCGGGCTGGGGAGTTTTGCAGAGAATTAATGGGGTATTTCATCCTAGAGGTTGGAGGCTGCCCCCATGCCTTTGCAAACCCTCTTTCTCCAGCCTGGGTCTCCCTGCCTCTTCTCCCCCACCCCCACCCATCCTCGCCTCCCCCAAGGGGATGCCCAGCCCCCAAGGTTCTCAGGGGGGTCCCACCTTGCTTTCTGCTGGCCCCTATCCTCAGGATCTCCGTATCTGCAGCTGGCGAGAGCTCGCTGTGTCCTGGGTCTGTGATCCCCGTCCCCCATCATATTGTCCTATCACCTGCCATCTCTGAGGGCCTGATGACTAACGGCAGTTTGTCCTCCAGAAGACTCAGCATGGGTATTCAGAGCCGGCCTCCACTGCCTGTCAGCTCTGCACTTGACCTGAAGGATCATGTCTGCCTTGGGCAGCTAGGAGGTCAGGCCATCCCTCTGGGCAAAGCCACCCTCCATCCTCCCCCAGGATCAGCTCAGTCCCACTGACCACCGGTAGATGCAGGGACAGCACAAACAGGTGACACTGGACCCACAAGCTTTCTTCCCAGATCTCACAAGGCACACTGTGCGTTTCTTAGTCATGGTGCTGTATTTTCTCTGCTGTCACCAAAGTCCCTGGTCGCCTTCTGTCAAATTATTTATGTCTCTTCATTCATTCAGCAAGTGTTTACAGAAAAATACCCGGTCACCACGAGCACTGAGATAGACTCTGTGGGAACACAGGTGAACAAGAAGACAGACCCTCACTTCATGGAGTGTAAGGTCTAGTAGGAAAACTGGACCCCACAAAGGAACATAACTGCACGTGTGATCAGCTCAATGGAGGAGAATGGGAGGCTGTCAGGATGAATAGCAGCGTGGGTGGGAGGGGCTTATTTTCATGGGAGTGGTCAGGGAAGGCTTCCTTGAGGAGGTGACATTACAGCTGGGAGCAGAAGAAAAACAAGGAGCCAAGTAACCAAGAGCCTTGGCAAGAGCGTTCCAGAAGGAGAGACCAGCTTGAGCAAAAGCCCAGAAGCTGGAAAGAGCTTGGGTCATTTGAGAAATGAAAGGAATCCCGGGTGGCCGGTGCATATGCGGAAGGGGGAAGAGTGGTACCAGTTAAAGACCAGATAAGGTAGGCAGGGGCCTTGTGCTCCCCGGGCAGGAATTTGAACTTGACCCAAGAGTACTGGGGAAGCACTGAAATTTGAGCAAAAGAGTGATGATCAACTTAATGTATCCCAGTGTCAGGGGTGGCTGGGGAGGGCTTTAGTCCTCAGAATCTCCACAAGTCTCCTTCCCCCAGCCCATGCTGCCCCAAAAACGAGTAAAAATAGTACTTTCTGGGCAAGTGCAGCTTGAAGGCAAGTCTCTGGTCCTCTCTGCAGCCAGGTGGCTGCCCACCTTCTGCCCCTGTGGAGAGATCGGGACAGGATGAGGCTCACCCTCCCTTGCTGCTCTTCACGGGGCCCTGGCAAGGTGAGTGTTTGTGGAGCCTGCAGGGGGCGCTGCCCTGAGGGCGCCTGCCTTTCCTCCCCAGGTGTGGATGACCCCCACCAGCACGGGCGAGGTGTCGCCCTGGCCGACTTCAACCGTGATGGCAAAGTGGACATCGTCTATGGCAACTGGAACGGCCCCCACCGCCTCTATCTGCAGATGAGCGCCCATGGGAAGGTGCACTTCCGGGTAAGAAGGAGCCTCTGCCTCGCTCCCCTGCTTTGTCCTCTTGGGGTTGCAGCCCCGCCTGTGCCTCCCCCCCAGGCTGAGTAGGGACTTGTGGCTCTGCAGAGCCTGGGGGCGGGGTGGCCACAAGGAAGGTAACACCTGGGGGACGATGGGCTCCTGCCTGAGCTGCTGTGACGTCTGTAGTGCCCAGCGCACGGTCACGGGCAGATGAGAGAGAGCAGCCTTGCAAGGTGCGCGGCAGCAGGGCAAAGGCCCAGTGAGGTGGGCTTCACTCTGGATCGGGAGCATTTTTCCATAGCCTGGGCCTGAGCTTTTCAAATTGAGGCTCAGGCCAAGGGCACAGTGGGGCTGGCGGGACAGGGGAGGTTGAGGCCACAGAGCTCCCAACAGTTGCCCCTTCTGGACAAATGGCAGGTGGGGGACAAGGTAACCTCGAACCCCTCTCTGTGCCCCCTCCCTGAGCTATCAACCATCTGTGACATCAAGAGTTCTTCAGAAAGACTGTTTGGTGACAGTAAGGGATGTACCACCAGCTAGTGAGCTTGAGTCTGGGCCTTTCTCAGGAGGGTGATGGAGAGCATGGGGTGGTTAGAGCTGACCTCCGGGAGTCAGGGTGCTTCTGGAGGTACCTGGTCTTGCCAAAAGCCCCCGAGGAAGCAAGAAAGTGGCGGCATTTGCCAGAAGCTTGATGGTCCCAGGGGAGTCACCAGGGCCCTTATGTCTGGGGCACTGCCACAAGCCCCTCCCCTGTAGGCAGCCGCCTTGGGGTGCTCAGGGCCAGCCACTCATTCCCTGCAGAGGCTCGAGACCCAGGCTCTCTGGGTGAAAAAGGTGCATCCTGGCCACGGAGAAGCTGCTCCTGGGATCCTGGATGATTTCCGTCTTTACTCAGCTTTTCCTTCTAACCCAGGTTCTCAACCAGGGGTGATTTCGTCCCTACCCCAGGACGTTTGACAATATCTGGGGACATTCCTGGTGGTCACAAATGGGATAGAAGGTGCTACTGGCATCCAGTGTGCAGAGGACAGACGTGCTGCTAAACGTCCCACAATGCACCGGCTGGAATAATCCAGCCCCAAATGTCAACGAACTCTTCTGATAGCCCAGCCCCAGAGCTCACAGGAGCAATAGTAAGAATAAGAATGGAGACCCCATTTATCAGGTGCCTTCTGTGTGCCAGGAACTGTGCTAAGCATCTTACATACATTATCTTGGAAGCCCAGGCATCCAGTGGGGCAACCCCAAGGGGCCTGTGTAGGTTTCCGTTAGAATAATAACAACTTCGAGATCCTGAGGTCTCTTTGTTACCAGCTCTCAAGGCCCTCTTCAGCCCACCCTGGACAGCGGGCCAGGCTCCCGATCAGCTTCATCACTGCGTTGTTGGGGACAGCCTATTCCCCTGGGAAGCCCAGAGTGGGCAGCTCATTCCTGTGGCCAGGGGAGAGGGCCTGAAGTAGGAGGCCCAGGGGCAGGGCCAGGGCAGAGGACCACTCCCAGAAACCCCAATTGCCCTTCCCAATTCTCCCCACGTGGACCCTGGGACTTAGACAGGCTCCTGCGTCTTTAAGGGACAAACCCACCCGGAATGGATGTTCTGCTGAGAAACAAAAGGTCGCCCTCCACAGCTCTTCTATTTCAAAGGCAAGTTCCACAGGTGGGACACTTCGCCAGGCCCACTGAGGCCCTCTTAGCACTTTGAAGTCCCTGCTGGGCTGTCCTGGGTCTGGGGTCTCCTCGTGAGCCCTGCGCAGAGGTATCTGATACTGCAACCCCCCAAGGCAAATATCTCAAAAAAAAAAAATCAAAAGACTCCCAAGAAACAAAGTAAGGTAATAAAGGCAGCAAAAACACAGCTAAAGGCCACCTCTGCCACCTTTCATGAGGCTGATGTGGGCAGGGCCAGGACAGAGTGCCAGGGATCCACCTGGTGCCCACCCTGTGCCAGGCGCTGTACATGCGGTGCTCACAACCTGGGCAGCGGTTATTCATCTCTGTGTCACCAGTGAGGAAGGTGAGATCTGAGCGGTTAAGTAACCTGCCTGAGGCCACACAGCTAGTCTGCAGAGAAGCCTGGATTTAAATGCACAGCACTGCCCAGTGCCTTCCCAGCCTCCACCTCTCACTGCGGAGGACGAAGGGCACGTACTAGGAAGGGCATAGCGTCTGGAATCAGAGCCCTGGTGACGGCCCCCACTCATTAGCTATGACAGTGGGCAATTCCCCTTCCTCTCCAGGACTCAGTTACCTCACCTGTAAAATGGGAGTGCTCACGTCAGCCCTGCCTCGAGTGACTGATGGGAGGGCCCCATGTGGTCCGGACCAGGGAACAGCAAGGTGCTTCACCAGTGTGAATTAGGACTGTTCCTCTTACCTCCTTGTTCTCCTACAAGCAGCCTGAAGTTTATGTGATCCTAAACACAGCATACCTAGGGCCCTTACAGGGAAGGTGACAGAGGACGTGCTAGGTCAGGATTTTATCTTTGCGCGTACGCGCACACACGGGGGTGGGGAGAGTTGGCCTCTAGGCCACCCCCATCGCCCCACGCATCTGTCCGCTGACCTGCAGCCCTCTCTCCTCCCAGGACATCGCCTCACCCAAGTTCTCCATGCCCTCGCCTGTCCGCACAGTCATTGCTGCCGACTTCGACAATGACCAGGAGCTGGAGATCTTCTTCAACAACTTTGCCCACCGCAGCTCTTCAGCCAACCGCCTCTTCCGGTAGATGCTTCAGCCTGGCTCGCGGCTACTCAGCCTTCGTGGGTGGGGGTCAGGGAGGAAGGCTTAGGACTCAAAAGAGGAGCTCCAAGGGGAGGGAGGAGGAAGGTCCCCTGATGAAGGAGCATTAGAAGCTGGAAGGACAGGGATTGAGCAAGAGGCTGAGAGAATGGGGGGTGGAAAGGTGAGGCGGGGAGTCCTGGGCCTCCTGCTGTTGGGGAGGAAATGGTCAGGGGGACGTGCACAAAGTGTGCCTAGAAGCCAGGCTCCACTCTACCACCCAAAGGGGTTCCAGAGCCAAATCTGTTTGGGTGCATCTGGATGAAGCAAAGACAGGCAGGTGTATTGACTACAGGACTTCTCAGAGCCTTTAACGTGACCATGAGTATTTTTACTTTCCAAGAGGTGAATGGAGTATTCCAAATAGATTTCAGTACAAGATACTTCTTTCAGAGATTTTTCTCTTGGGATTGGTGCTCTGCTAAACATCCTTCGGGAAATGCTGAATGAAACAATTAATGGTAGATGAGGGAATGGTAGACAAGAATGGAGGCAACTGAGCACTGCATGCAGGGAGGAAAGGTTCGATTTTTCTCTGATTGGGGTCCAGAGACCACTGGCCTCAGAACCACCCAGAGTGTTTATTTAAAGTAAAGAATCCCTGGGCCCGCCCTGGATCTCCTGAATCAGAATCTCAGGGGCTGAGGCCCAGGAATCTGTCTTTTTAACGCGTACACTAGGCATCAGGTGATTCTTATCCCACCAACGTTTGAGAACTGCTGTTGGGGAACAAACCTCAGGACACATGCAGCCCGGGTTCCTGGCCTAAAACATGCTAATGGGCCTCAGCAGCAGGTGGCAAGAGGAGGGTGGGCCAGGGGCCTTGGAGGCAGGAAATGGGCCAGAGCACCTGCTCAGTTCCCCAAGGCCCCTGTCCCCTCCCCCAGAAGGGCCCTCCACTATTAATAAAAGGCGAGAGCTGTGACTAAGCGTGTTTTAAAATATAATTATTAACAAAGCATCAATCCGGACCAGCTGTAATCACCCCCTGAAGGCACCAGATTTGCTAATTAGGTGCCTTGCAAGAAGCTTTTTCACAACTTCCAGATTAATTGCGGAAGATCAATTGCTCGTTAACAGAGACTCTGCTTTCCTTCTCTGGCTGATAAAGTGTCACTCGCCAGGGCCTGGAGCACCAAGGAGTCTCTGTGGCCCGAGCACCCAGGCACCTCCTCTGCCTGTCTGGCCTCTGTCAAACCTCCCAGCTTCCCTCCCGCCACCCCAAGGGCAGGCTGGCCCCGGGCTGTCTGCGGACAGGGTCACCACATGGTCACCCTATGGGTTAGTGTGTTTGTTTCCGCACAGCGTCAGTGGAAGCCACTTCCCAGTTCCGTGGCTGTGCCCCGAGTCCCTGTGGCAGACGGCTGGGTCTGGAGCTCGCAGCAGAGAGTGTAGGGGCTACAGCTGGGGCCACCACTCAGCTGGCAACTCTAGAAATTGAGCCCCTACCTGCCCCATACCACGTGGGCTTGTCACGTGTCACCGAAGGAAACATGGTGGGCTCCTTGTAGGAGTCACCAGGGATGCAAAGCCTCGGTGTGTGTGAGTCTGCCGGCCCTTCAGCGATGCCTGGGAAACCAGGGAACTCATCACCCACTCCAGGTGCTTAAGAAGAGTGCAGAGGCCCTGTTAACAATGGTGGGGTGACAGGCGTGATCAGGGACAGTCCCAGGCCGGGCAGGATGTGCGTTGATCTGGTCCCATGGCTCCACCCTGCACACTCCCTCTTCTTTAGCTGCCGCCCTGTGTCCAGTCCTGCAGAGCAAGCTGTTGAAAATGCGAATCTGACCACACCCCTCTTCCACTTAAACCCCTTAGAGGCTCCCCACTACCTTCCCTTCGATACATCCCACAGGCTGGCTTTGTCCCCAGCCTTGTCACTCTCCACTCCCCAGTTTACACCTAAGTGCCAGACACCCCAAGCTTTCCGTTCTGGGCTGCACCAGGCCTGGACCCCTCAGGCTGCCCACACCACCTGCCTCTCTCTCGCTTCTGAGTGACACAGACTCACTCATCATTTTGGTGTCAGCTTTGTTGACCCTTCCTCCGAGAAGCCTGCCCTGGTTGCCCAAATCTGGGTGAGTTTGCCCAGCTCTGCCCTGGAACTTCTGGGCTTTAGCCTTAGAAACCCCTAACTCCGTTGTCACCTGAACCCAGGGATGGCTCTGCCCAGCCGTGACAGAGCTTGCAGGACACGAGTGGTTGAAGGGACTGTGGATGCTAGCGGGCTGAGGCAGACACACACCTCCGGCAGGTGTGCACACACACAAAAGCACTGCCGGGCATGCAGCTCACTGCCCAGACTGCACACGTGGGTGTGCTCAGCACAGACGCCCCGCGCGGACAGAGGACACCTCCCAGGACATGTGCTCAACCCTGCAGACACCTTGCAGTTCTGCCAGCACCCTCTGCCATCCAGCCACCAGAAGCTCCAGCTCAGGGGACCCTGGCTCCCTCCTGAAAGAAAGCATTGGCCACAGCACAGCCCTCTGGTGACTGTGATTTAAGTGACAGCCCCACCTGCAACGTAAGGGGAGAGTGATACAGATCCTTCCTGGTCCTTTCTCCCCACCCCAGCCGCAAGATTGCTCCACACAGCCAGGACAGAGCGCCCAAGGCTGCGAGAATCTACCCAGTGAGAAAAATTAGAGAGGAAAGCTCAAAGCCATCATCAGCGTTCAGCTCAACGTGCAGAAAGAACAGGACTTTCACAGTGGACTTTTCTACAGCAAATATTATCACGATTCAGAGTTCAAAGCAGACAAAACCCTAGCAACCCAAAGGGACCCTTTCTTCCCTTTTGTCTCTGGATTCCTCCATGCACCCCACGGACATGTCTGGAGCTTCCTGAGAGCCAGGCACTGTGTTAGATGCTGCAGGAGATGCAAAGAAGAGTAATAATACATGGTTCCAGGCTGCAAAGAGTTCGCAGTCTAACTGAGGAGATAAGATGCATTCATATAGAGCTTCAACACAAGGCAGAAAGCGATAAAGGCCAGGAAAGTGACAGAGGCAGAGCAGGAAGGCATCGCTTCTAGCAGGACGATCAGGGAGGGCTTAGAGGAGGTGGCACCGGAGTAGGGGTGGAACCCTGCGTAGCATTCAGAACTCAGAAACCCAGGGCCGCTAGAAGGAATGTGAAGGTCAGCTGAAGGTAGTTGCATCCCTGCCCCTTCTCCATCCATCAGCTGCCCTTCCCCAGGCTGTCTATAATTCATCCATTAGAGAAGGAAAAATCAATATTTACCAACGTGAATTAAAACCCAAGAAAGGCGCAGGCAGGGTCTGTGAGCAGAGTGGCTCTGTCGGCATGCAGGTGGCAGCCCACGTGCAGGAGGGTCTCAGGGTGCTCAGGGGCTGGAGAATGGAGCTAGTGGGCCTCGAGGTCCAGGGAGCCCACTGGGGCTTTGCCAGCACATTGTCGTCCATGAACAGCCTGTCTCCTGTCCCGCAGCATCATCCGTAGGGAACACGGCGACCCCCTCATCGAGGAGCTCAATCCTGGTGACGCCTTGGAGCCCGAGGGCCGGGGCACAGGTGAGGGCACCTGAGGGCTCTGGCCTGCTCTCCCCTGTCTCAGTGCTGCCCTTAGCCTGGGGGGAGGGCGGGAGGGGTGGTGCAGCCAGTCCCACAGCAGGGCTCATCCTATCACTGCCACTCTGAGGGCTGAGATCCTGGGGCAGGGGTGCGAGTGGGGGAGGAGGCCCTGGGAGTGCCAGGCGGGAAGCAGAGGAGGGGACAGTCCGTTCTCCCAGTCCCAGGGCCGTGGGGTCAGAGGCGTGGGATTCCACGGGCAGTAGCATCTCTGGTAATGTTCTGCCGGGAGGAGAGGCAAAGGCGAGGCTGGGCGTCCTACCGTCTCACCCCTCCTGGCACTCAGCCTGGTGTCAACGAGCGAGCACTGGATCAGGAGTCCCAGGACTCGGCCCTGCCATCGCCTCGCCTGTGGCCTTGGAAAAGGCGCTTCCTCTTCCGGATCTTGTTCGCCACACCCATAAAATGGGGCTAATTGCATCCGCCCTCCTCACGTCTCTGGGTTGTAGTGAGGACTAAAAGGAGGCCAGGCATATGCTAACCCCCGATAGACTGACAAAAACCGTGCAAATATAAAGGGTGTGTATAAAAGACCAGAAAGCAGCCCTCATAGTCTGAATTATTTGCACCCATGCTTTCCTTCAAAAGTCCAGGGGGAGGAAATGGACCCCCTCTTCCATGAATGCACGGCCACTGGAAAGGAGAGGAGCTTCAAGCTCCAGTCTTCGATCCCCAGCGCTGTGCTCTTTCCTGCCACACTCAGGGCGTGGACCTGGCACTGGTCAGGAGCCCCCCTCCCCTGTGGGTCTCCTGGCCGATGGACAGAGTGAAATCTGTGCCGTTGCAGGCGGTGTAGTGACAGACTTCGATGGAGACGGGATGCTGGACCTCATCTTGTCCCACGGAGAGTCCATGGCTCAGCCGCTGTCCGTCTTCCGGGGAAATCAGGTGTGCCTGGACCTGGGGACCCACAGAGCCCAGCCCAACGTGCCGAGCCTGGGCTGGATGAGGGCCAAGGAGCCCGGGATGCTTGCTTGACCAGAGCGGCAGGAAATGGACACCCGGGCCCTGGAGGAAGCAAATTCCCAGCAGCACAGTGAACTCCAAGAAGAGCTGCCTCCCAGAAGCCCTTTGCCCCTCAGCCTTCTGCTGGCACTCCTCCAAACACTGTTTTCCCCGAGTCTATTGGCTTTCCCTCCTCTTTTCCAGGACTGCTCTTTGCAAACTTCAGCCAGTCTGTCTCCCTGCCCGGCTCCCTCCTCCTCTCTTTCCTCTGCCCCTTTTCTTGTCCCCTTCTTTCTCCTTCTGTCCCTCCCTTACCCTCCCTCCCTGTTCCTTCTGCCCAGCCCGCTGATGCCCGGGCCTACCTTCCTCCCTCCCTGCAGGGCTTCAGCAACAACTGGCTGCGGGTGGTGCCGAGAACCCGGTTTGGGGCCTTCGCCAGGGGCGCTAAGGTTGTGCTCTACACCAAGAAGAGTGGGGCCCACCTGAGGATCATCGACGGGGGCTCAGGCTACCTGTGCGAGATGGAGCCCGTGGCACACTTTGGCTTGGGTGAGTCAGAGCTCGGGGCGGGGGGCAGTGGTGGGAGTGCGCGAGTGAGCTATTGGCGGGACGGTGGGTGCTGAAACTGCATCCCGAATCCCGGCGAGATGCAGGGCTCACAGCCTGAGCATCTTCTAGATACCACGTTACTGTGACACCAGCCACTGGAGGCAGCCCTGCTTTGAAGTGAACCTGAGCTCAGCAGGGAGGTTTTCATGCCCCCTCCTTGCTGGGGTCCGCATCCTGGTGCCTCTGTCGAATTAGTTCACCTTGGGGTCAGAGGATTTAATCCTCCATTTGTCCGAGGCCATGGCCTTGTCCTTCAAACAATGGCCTGCATCGAACCTACCCAAACCAGCTGCTTCCCTGGCCGCGTGGGGGTCGGTTCAGTGGTTAAAATGTCTCACCAAACCCCTGGTGCCCTCTCTTGGCTAGAAGCCTTGGGGAAAGCATGCGTGATCAGCGGGAGTGATGTCAGGCCCGAGAGGGTGAAAACTGGTTCTTGGCTGGGGGTGGTATGAAAAAAAATGCTAGTCTTTTATGTGTGTGTGTGTGTGTGTGTGTGTGTGTGTGTGTGTGTGTGTGTGTGTGTGTGTACACACATTAAAGACTAGCATTTGATATATATATACACACATACGTATGTATATATATCTATATGCACATATAGATGTATGTATGTTACATATATGTGTGTGCATGCATATATATAACATAACCAGGTATACAGTGTACCTGTGGTGTCAATAAAATATCACTATACACCTATTAGAACAGCTAAAGTAAAACATAGTGACGAAACCAAGTGCTGGCAAGGAAGTGGAAAAGCCGGGTCTCTCGTTCGTTCCTGGAACAGCTACTCCAGAAGATGGTTTGGCAGTTCCTTTTAAGACAAAAACTAAACTACACAACCGTTATAGGACCCAGCAATTGCACTCCTGGGCATTTATCCCAGATGAATGGAAACTCATGTCCACACAAAAATCTATACATGATTGTTCATAGTAGCGTTATCTGTAATAGCCCAAACTGGACACGACCTTGATGTCCTTCAGTAGGTTAACGGTTCAACAAGCTGTGGTCCCTCCACACCATGGAATATTACTCAGCAATCAAAAGGAATAAACTATTGATACACACAGCAACTTGGATAGCTCTCATGGGCATTATGATGAGTGAAAAAAAAAAAGGCCAATCTCAGAAAGTTACATGCTGTTGATTCCATTTATATAATGTTCTCAAAATGACAAAATTATAGAGATGGAAAGTAGATCAGTAGTTGCTGGGGGCTAGAAATGGTGAAAAGGAGAGGGGTGGGTGCGACTGTAAAGGGATAGCCCCAAGGAGGTCTTTGTGGTGACGAGCAGTTCTGTGTTTTGATTGTGGTGGTAGTTGCACGAATCTACAGGTGCTCTGCATAAGGTACCTTATTCCATTCTCACCACAACAAGATGAATTAAGAACCATAACCCCCATTTTACAGGTCAGGAAACTGAGGCTGAGGTTAAGTAACCTGCTCTAAATCACACCTCCAGAAAGTAGGGAGATCTGGATTTGGACCCCACTTCCTTGGACGCCACAGTCTGAGGTCTTAACCACTGTGACTTGACTGCCAGACCTCCCGTAGCTGCTCTGTGCACAGCCAGCCAAGGTCCTTCTGCTCTGCCCCTTTCTTACTGGACATCCATGACCCCTCAGTTACTAGATGACCCAAGTGAGGCCATCCACGCCAAGGTGACTGCCATGGTCTCATAGGTAGGATGTTTATCCAGTTATCTGGCTTGGATATCAACCCACACCCCATTGTACAGATAAGGAAATTGAGGCTCACAAAGAAAATCAGTGGTGAGGCCAGGACTGGGGCTGGTTTCTCCTTCCACACGTCCCATGAGCTGCCTCTGCTATTTTGAGACGTGTATTATAGGTCTTATTGGGTCTCTTCTCTGGCCAGTATCTGTCCCCGCCGAGAGCACAGATCTGCTTCTTCAGCTGGGCAGCCTCAGCTGGGTCATTTGGGGGTATCACAGGGGCCCAAGAGCCTCCACGCCTCTTCACAACAGTCTGCCTCCCCTGCTTAGGGATACGGATCCTGCTCCTGCTTGGGAGGCCCTGACTGCCCTGACGCCAATCCTTGCTGTTTTGCAAGGCTGTGGGGTTTGTTCTGGGTCTGAGCTCTGGTTCAAACTGCTCCACGGGTCCCATGCAGCCTCCCCTGTTGCCGGATCCACTCCCAGAGAGGCGCAGAAGGAAGGCTGCTCTTGGAGACAGGCCCCAGTGGGTCAGCCTTGGGCCTGGCAGTGAGATTCCCTGAGGCCACTCAGCAGGCAGCAGGGCCAGCAGCCGGGGGCACAGCGAGGGGCAGGTGGCTCCATGCCTGCAGCTCCAAGGCCCCCACGTCCGGAAGGAACTTCATGGACAGCACAGCACAGGCCTTCCTGATTGATGGAGGGCCAGCAGTGGGGCAGGAAGAGAGGGAGCTGATGGGAAGGCTGGATGGAAGGAAGGATTGAGGAAAGAGAGAGAACAGCGGGGAGACAGACAGAGACGGGGACCAGGGGAAACCAAGAGACGCAGAGAGACATGGCAAAGAGACAGATGAACAGAGAAATGCTCCCTCTCCTCCAGGCTCACGGTTGTGAGAGAGGCAGAGGGACACAGGAGCTCTCGTTGCAAGCAGATTTGGATGCCCCGTCATACTGGCCCAGTGGCTGTGAGGACTGAGGTGGGAGAAATTCTCTCTGCTCTGGGCAGTTTTCCCAAGGAAGTGGGCCTTGAACTAGGTCTAGAAGGATGGTGGGAATTTGGAAGGTGTGGATGGGAGCTGAGGAGAGCATCCAGGGGCTGGGCTGGTTTGAACAAAGGCCAGAGGTGGGAGTGTTCACTGTGTCCACAGAGTAGGAAAGGTCTGGTAGGAGCGGAGTCTGGAAAGGGAGGTCAGGGCCAAACTGTCAGGAGCACGCAGAGCCAGGTGGAGAGGGCGGGTGGAACAGAGGGAGCTGCGGAGCCAGGAAAGCCAAAGCCAGGCTTTGCTGTGGGAGGGCAGGGCCGCGAAGGAGCCCAGGAGCCACTCGCAGGGCATAGTTATCTATAAATGTGCTCCTGTGTGTTTTGCATGTAATAAAGTCAAATTAGAAGGCTTTAATTTTTTTCTGACTGCAGGAATAATGCATATTGGTTATAGGAAAATTAGAAAATATAACATCATTAAAAACAGAAAGTAAAAATAACCCATAATCTCGCCACTATGCTTGGAATATTAAGCAAAAAGGAAACATTCCCTCTTCACCCTCCGCCAGTGTCATTTGATTCATTTAGTCTCTACTCACTTACTGAGCACCTACTCTGTGCCCAAAACTAACGAGACAAAGAGCCTTACCATGGCTAACCCTACATTCTAGCGGAAGGAGGAGTAGCATATGACACCTAATAAACGTAACAACTAGGTAGATATATAAAATGTTAAATGTTAAGTGCTATGAAAAAAGAAAATGCAGAACAGGGTGAGGGGATTAGGAACGCAGAGGGGAAGGGGCAGGGAGCAGATTCAAATATAGTGTCCCAGGGTGGCCTTTTCCCAGTTCCATACTTTTGATATGATTTTATTGCATGCAAAATACACAGGAGCACATTTATAGAAAAATATGCCTTGGAACCTTTTTTAGCAGAAATTATTATACTCTCCCTGTTATTCCCAGACTTGCCTTTTTGTCTCTCTCTCTTAACGGTATATCCTGGCCATCACTCCAAGTCTGTGCTTGTCTCCTTTGTTTTCCTTTAGTGCTGCACAGTATTGTATCGTGTGGCCACATTCACAATTTGTTTAGCAAGTCCCCTACTGATGGACAGTTTGATGGTTTCCAATCCTGAACAGTTTGTTTTGTGGTATTTGGGCTGAGAAGGGGCAGGTCCAGAACAGGAATGCAGAAAGGGCTGCCTTGACGTCTGCATGACTAAGAAGGAGATGCGGGCCTGAGGCTGCGAGGGAAGGGCCGAGGGCTGCGGGAAGCCCCCCTTCCAGCACCCGCCACGCTCGTGCTCACCCCCTCTGACCCTGCTCCTTCCTCCCTCCAAAACCACCCCTGCCTCCTGACTTTGCAGCAAGGTGCAGTGAGCGGCTTGTCCGTGGACTTGTGTGTGGGTGCACACGTGTGCCTCTCAGCAGCCGCCTCCTGGGCCCTTCTCTTCCCCACGTGCCTGGCCAGCTCATCTCTCGGTGGCTGGAGAAGGAACGCCTCCCAGCTCTGCAGGCCTTTGCTTGGTCAGCACTGAGCTGTGGTTAGAGGACTCAGCTTCTCAGACCCTCCCTGTGCACCCCGAGAATCCAGACTGCATCGCATCACACAATGAAAACTCGGGGACCTTGCTGTGCTGCATTCTTCCGGGGGGTTCCCAGCAGGCCCACTCCACTGTGCAGAGGGCTCTCAGCTTCACCCTATAGAACCATTCCACGCGCCCCCGCTCGGGGGAGCCCCTGGCCTCGTTCGCTGCGCCCTCCACCCTGCCCTGGCCTCCCCCTGCTCCCCCCAGTGCAGATGGCCCGCCAGGCTCATAAATCAGCGTTTCTGCTCACAGCCCTTGTTGAGTGCCCCACTGGACCCCGGCTGCTCTGAACCGACATCCCAGCCCTGTACACCCACCGCACGTATCCCACACCCAGGCTCTCTGGCTCCGAGCGAGCCCAGAGCTGAGGCAGCTCTACCAAACCCAGTAAGTGAAAACAAGCGCCAATAATCTCCTTGCCCCACCGGCCCCCGTCGGGGGCTTACCCCCTGGGCCAGCCCACCCCAGGCTTTGATGGCATCCCCAGCCCCTGCACATACACCCCTCCTTCCTTTCAGCTGATGGTTTGCAAGTGATTCAGAGCTGCCTCCAAGCCGGTTGGTGCTCATTTAGGGAAGGAAAATTCAGTGGCCCACATAAAAATCGCTTTATTAAAGTGCAGAAATCTTCCCCCAACTGTATTCCCACCATCTGTTTTGCTTGTAATGCTTCTGAAAAGCGCGATTCTCCGTGCCTCCTTGGCCTTTGTCCTTTAAAAGCTGCCAGAGGCGACTCCCTGCTGCTCTTAAGGGGCCCTCCTCTGCGCACCAGCTCCCTGACACACTGGCCCCACAGGCTGGCAGCTTAAAGGCCCCGTTGGCTTGTGCAGCTGCGTGAAGACTTGAGATTTCCGGGGCAGAGGGAACAGCGGGACCTGGGGGCAGGAGCCTGGGGTCCAGTCCTAGCTCAGACACCTGCAGGGCACTGCATCTTGCCAGCCTCAGTGTCTACATCCGGGAAGTGGGGATAAACTCCCTCTCAGAGTAATTGGGAGGATTCAAGCCAGCCACACCTGTGAGGGCTCCGAAGTCCCTCCCCACATCACCCCCCCGCCCTGTCTCCTCTCCCACCCACCCCACCTAACACACATGCTCACACCCTGCTTCTTCCACTTTGAGCTTCTCCCTGATCTTCAACACACATGCCCTTTTCATACCTCTATACCTTTGCCAGTGCTGTGCCCTCTGCCTGGAATGCCCCTTCCTTCCCTTCTCTGCCTCACAAGCTCTTGTTCCTCCTGAATCCTCCAACGAAATGACTTTTAACACCCACCTCTCTCACCAAGTGGTACCAATACTGTGGGTGCACTTTCCCAGTTTATTATAACATAATCACTGTGTTCATTGCCCTCATGGGGCTCAGCTCCTCCAGGATGGGGCCTGGGTCTGTGTCCCTGCTGAATCCCAGATCCCTGCCTGATGCTTGGCCCATGGTGGGCTGGTCATCAGGGTGGGGTGGGCAGTAGAACAAGGGTTTAGCAGGTACGGGCTTTGGGATCAGATGCTCCCTCTCTGGGTAACTGTGAGCAATTCCCTTCTCCTCTCCAAGTTTCATCCCCCTTGACTCTAAAATAGAAATTATAAAACTAGTACCTTCTCATGGGACTGCCGTGAGGATCCAGTGCCCTAACACTGAGAATCACCTGGTACAGTTTGGGGTGCATACTCTCTAGCAGTATTGCCAACACGCAAAAGCCCTTTGGGAACTGCAGGGCGCCCCCCCCATGTCTAAGAGATGATGAGGATGGGGCTGCTGAGGGTCCACATCGGCCGGGGCAGGGCTGACATCCAAGCAAGAGCTGTCCTTCCTGGATGAGGTAGAGCTCCCTTCTTACAGATGAGGAAACCAAGGACCCAAGTTGGCAAAGTAATCAGTGACGAAGGAGGGAGCCCTACTGAGGTGTGCTCTCCCCGCGGCTGACTTATCTCCTAGTCCTGCCCCTCCCTGGGTGGCGGAAGGGAGGAAGCAAGATTCAGAGGCAGGATGTAAGTTCGTGGTTGTCTATGAACATTCGGCAGCTCTTTTGAGTTATTTGTGGCACTTCTGTCAGGCTGGAAAATGTATTCATGTAGCTGTTCTGTTGGCTTAGGTGAGAAACATTTGCTCTTCTGTGTCTCCTTTGTTTTTTAGTAGAAAAGTGTTTATTTATTTATTTTTTGCGGTACGCAGGCCTCTCACTCTTGTAGCCTCTCCCATTGCGGAGCACAGGCTCCAGACGCGCAGGCTCAGCGGCCATGGCTCACGGGCCCAGCTGCTCCGCGGAATGTGGGATCTTCCTGGACCGGGGCACGAACCCATGTCCCCTGCATCGGCAGACGGACTCTCAACCACTGCGCCACCAGGGAAGCCCAAGTGTTTACTTTTTACATCTGCCATTTAATTTGGGTGCTGAACACCCTAAAAATGCCACATCTCTTGAACCTCAAGAGACTGCTTCAAAACAGTAAAAGAGGGGCTTCCCTGGTGGCGCAGTGGTTGGGAGTCCACCTGCTGATACAGGGGACACGGGTTCTTGCCCCGGTCCGGGAAGATCCCATATGCCGCGGAGCGGCTAGGCCCATGAGCCATGGCCACTGAGCCTGCACATCCGGAACCTGTGCTCCGCGACGGGAGAGGCCACAACAGTGAGAGGCCTGCGTACCACAAGAAAAAAAAAACAGTAGAAGAGGGGGCAGTTGATACCTCCCCAATCCTATTTTCACCCCCTTCCCCCAAAATGAATTATTGTGGAAGGAGGGAGCAGGGCAGTAGGAGTTTATGAGAAATGTTTTCTGGCTTAATAAAGCCAACCCCAGAACCAGCAAGACCAGGCCTGGAAGGGGAGAGTCTCCGCAGGAAGAGAAGCTGCACCGCGTCTTCGGGTCTCTGCACTGTGTGCGAGTCTCTGCTCCAGCGGCCTCTCTCTGGTGCTGCTGCCCCATCGCGGGCACAGGGGCAGGGGCTACTCACCTTTGACACTTCCGGACGGTAGCAGCTGGTCCCTGCCCTCGATAATCCACGGCGGCCCGAGACTGGAACGCTACAAAGAGACTTCTCTGGGGGCCTTGGGTTGGAGGCGGTAATAGAGAACCAAACACAGGGAGGCTCAGGAAGTGGATGATGTGGCTGTCAAGGTGCACCTTCTTCCGGAAGCCCCGGACTGACGCACCGGGACTTGGGGAGAAAGATGCAGCTGAGTCCTTCCACGCCGTCCTGTCTTAGCTCCCACCCCAGAGCAGACCTCTGCACAGAAGCGTCTGTACATAGATTCCCCACAAAGTCTAGACGTAGTTTCAGCCCTTTTCTAAAATATGGGAACCCCTTTCATACATGAAAATGTTTCACAGACCACCCTCGACCCCCATAGCAGCGATCATTGTAAAACCCACTGGTTGACAGGACCAAAAGCTGCTATAAATCTGACAGCACTCTTCAGTTTCACTTGTTTCCTAACAGTGTCTGTATGCATTAAGGGGAAAGTAGCGCACACATGTGGGTGACATCATTTTTTCCGCCTACGAATGGTGCTTGGGGGAGTGTATGGATTGGTGGAGCCCCGAGCACCAGGCCCACATCTGGTCAGCCCAGGAGGGTGACTACCGACGAGGGGGCTGCAGCCTCCCTCCTGCATGTGCTGAGCACGGCCCTCTTCCCCAGGTGACTGATGGGAGAAAAGCCCCTCCCAGCAGGTGAGGCCCACCCCCCACTCCTCTCCACCCCAGTCCATCACCATGAGCCTGACCTTGCCTCAGTGACGGGCCTGTTGCCTTAAGCAGGGAGCTGGGGCCGGCTTTGACGATGCCTAAACACCTGACAAATCTTTCCAACCTGCTTCCTGCCAGTGATGTAACACGTTGCTTGCAGATGGATTCACCCTGAATGTCCTCTGAGCTCCACCACCGTTCGTTTTTGTAAACGTCTCAGCTTCGTAGTACGGTCTTTCTCTGCCTTTTGGTTCTTTGTCGCCTCAGCTTTTATTTGGAGCTCGGCTCAAATGCTTTCTCCGCAAGAGCCTATCCCTCACCACCCTGACTAGAAAAGCCCCCAGCCTACTCTTACTTCCTTTTTATCCCATCACCCTATTTTTGTTTTCCTCACAGAGCTTGTCAATATCTGGCATTATTTGTCCATCTGTGTGCCTGTCTATCCCCACCAGAGTGGAAGCTCCCTAAAAAGAGGGTTATTCCCAGTGACGGCCCCTAGCAGACTATAAACATCCAATATAAATACAAATACGAATAAATGCAACACACCTGAGATTAAGTCAGATGTAAAGCTGAGATTTGTCCCCAGGCCTCCCAGATGCCCACCCCCCGCCATGTCCTTCCCAGCATGCTCGGTAAGTGGTACAGCCAAGATCTGAACCCAGGACTCCAGAGTCAACATGTTTACCACCAGGCTTTACTCTCTTCCCTCCAAAATCCACTAGAATGTAAGTTCTAGAAATGTGCTGTCCAATATGGTAGCCACTAGCCATGTGTGGCCATTTCAAGTCAGTCAGTTAAAATTAAATTGAATTTAAAATTCAGTTCCTTATCACGCCACTAGCAGCTACCACAGCTGACAGAGCAGATAGAGAACATCGCCATCACTGCTGAAGTTGTCCTGGACGGCATTGTTCTAAAAGAGCAGGACCTCATCTGCCTTGTTCACTATTTCCCCGGCACTTAGAACAGTGTTCAATTCATATTTTTTATTAGGTGAGTGAATAAATGAATGATGATACTTTTGTGGAGAATCCCTCCCCGCCCCCTGCTCTGCAGCTGATCCTTTCATCCCATAGGGAAGGATGAGGCCAGCAGCGTGGAGGTGACGTGGCCCGATGGCAAGATGGCCAGCCGGAACGTGGCCAGCACAGAGATGAACTCGGTGCTCGAGATTCCCTACCCGCGGGATGAGGACAGACTTCGGGACCAGGCCCCCCTGGAGGTGAGCAAAGGCATCTGGGCCTCAGAGCCAGAAAAGCAAGCCCCACACATGGGCTGAAGCTGGATTCCCAGGAATCTGCAGACTTTGTTTCTAGAATGATGGAAATCACCTTAGCAAAGGGCAGGCTTCATAGTGACCCCTCCATGCGTAGTTTGCACACCAGTGTCACACCCACGTCTCTTCTGCTCCTCGCAGAAATCCTGGCGTATTGGAAGGGCAAGCATTTTTCACCCATTTTATAGAGAAGGAAAACCAAGACCAAGAAAGAGAACCCACCAAAACCGCACAGCCATTTGTGAGCAGAGTTAACAGTTGGCCCCAGGTCTCCCGCTTCACTTCTGGCTCTTTCCAAAGCTTCTGACAGAGCTGTTGCTTCTGAGGGCGGGGCAGGGCCTCTGGGGGCTCCTCAGGGAAGAGCTCTGGACACTCTGGAGAGGATCACGCCATTGTAGATAACAGGGGCCCACTTAAACTCACACAGAAGAGGGGGCTTACAGGGAGGGTTCTAGAGGAGCTCACAAAATGCAAGGGATGCTCAGGGTGAGAGCCATGGCAGCTCAGTGGCCCCAGGAGCTCAAAGACCTTTGCCATTAGTGCACTGGCTCTGGGGGGAGAATTATCCTTCCCCAGGAAGCCGCACCAGCACCTAATCATTTGTCTTTTCCAACAGTCAACATTGCTGTCTTGTGTAAAGTATTCTGTTTCGAGTCCCCGGCCACCCCACCTCCAGCCACCAGCCTGCTGTCTATGAGACCTCCACATAGACACAGCAAAGCCTCCACAGCCCGGCGTGACCAGGCGCCAAAATCTGTCTCAGCCTCACTTAGTTCAGCTTCTAGCCGCAAAGCCTTTGAGTCCCTCCTCGTGCTGGGATGTCCACCTCTTGTCCAGTCAGCCCTGCCCAGAGGTGGGGGACAGCCTGGCTTGCAGGCACCCACCCCTTGTGAGTGGGGAAGGTTCTCAGAGAAGGGGGTGCGGGGAGTGAGCAGACACCTCTAAAAGCTTCTCCACCCCTCTCTACACTTTGCCTTCCTGAGACCCGGCCTGTCTCAGGGTGATGCCACAGGAGGGACAGACTCTGTTAGGTGTCCCGGTGCAGGCGTGTGGATCCC